ATACATTCCAATGGAAAAAAACATAAATTCCTATGGGAAAAAAATCATCACCTATTCCAGCCAGCTGTGAAAACAAGCACCTCACTCATTCTACAGTAAATCACATATCAGCACATGATCAGGAAGCTGTAGGGAAGACCTGGACATACTTTCTTTTGTATTCAAACTTTGCTCCGTGTTATTTTCTCTTAAAGAAGGAGGTTACTTGGACAATGCATTCTCTTAATGCTTTGCCACTACTCCTCTTAGGAGAGGAGCTTATAAAAAATCATACTGCTATTTTTTTCCTATCTTCAGTATCACTTCCACCCCACTCACTCTGTGTCACTCACATGTATTTTGTCCCACTCACTTTCATGCCAGTCAGTACTTCAATTTAGACACATCTCTCCATCTTTAGCTTTGAATAAAACTTCAATAGTAGTGTATCTGAGGTGGAAAATAACAGTTTTCCAATGACTGGTCACTGAAATGAGTGGGTAGTGAGGTGCCTGAACGGGCTGCCTAGAGACGCTGGAGATACCCTGTGCCTGGAGGTGTTAAAGGCTAGGTTGAATGGGGTCCTGGGCAGCCTGATCTGGTATTTGATATAGTGGTTGGCAGCCCTGCTTGTGGCAGGGGCTTGGAACCTGTTAATCCTTAAGGTTCCTTCCAACCCAAGCAGTTGATAAGATTCTATGAAATGGAGGCACAGGAGGAATATGGACAGAATTTTCACTGCTCTTCTGTGCATGAGCAATTTAGTTATACTGCAGTGTACTTAAAAGCTCCTAGGAATGGCCACCCAAGTGAGCCGTGGATTTCAGTACTTTCTTTCTTCATTATTTCATGCATTTACTATCTGAAAGACATATGAAGTGCCTTCGAATCTTTGCTTTCTGGTCCTAAGGGGGGATTTGTAATAGAATATATTGATTTTGGCAGAGTTGCCTCAAATGATCCTCCTCTTTATTTTTCTTTCTATTCTCCCAACCCTATTATTTTTTTATTTTTCTTTCTTTTTCTTCTTTTTTTTTTTCTTTTTATTTTTCTTTCTTTTTATCTTTTTCTTTTTCTTTTTCCTCTTCCTTTTTCTTTCTTTCTTTCTTCCTTCCTTCCTTCCTTTCTTCCTTTCTTCCTTCCTTTCTTTCTTTCTTTCTTTCTTTCTTTCTTTCTTCCTTTCTTCCTTTCTTCCTTTCTTCCTTTCTTCCTTTCTT